CTTCCTTCCTTCCTTCCTTCCTTCCTTCCTTCCTTCCTTCCTTCCTTATCGATCTATCAATCTATCCAACTGCCTCTCCCTCTCATCTATCTGTCTGTCTGTCTGTCTTATCTATCATCGAAAACTATTTCTAATGTTTCAATAGACGAGCATTTGCTCATCAATAAGGAAGGGAAGGAGGGAAGGAGGAAGGAAGGAGATGAAGGAGAAGGAAGGAAGGAGGAAAAGGTGAAGGAAGGAAGGAAGGAAGGAAGGAAGGGAAAGAGGGAGGGAAGGAAGGAAGGAAAGAAGCAAGGCCCCCTCAACCTACCAATAATGTTCTCACCCTGCTCCCTTTATCCCAGATATAGACGAATGTGTGACGGGCGTGGCGTTGTGTGCGCACCAATGCCTGAACACTCACGGCTCCTACCAATGCCTGTGCAACGCTGGCTACGAACTCGGGGCAGAGGGCAAGCAGTGTTACCGTGAGTTTCCAGGAAGGACGGGGTGTGTGTGGAAATTTGGCAAAATCCAGACGGGGTTTGGGTGGCGGGATCAGCCGGCGGTCCCCATTTTTTTTGCCGACTCGTTTCCCACCCCCACCCCCCACTTAATTTCCTTTTCCAGGAATAGAGATGGAGATTGTGAACAGCTGCGAAACCCGCAACGGGGGCTGCTCCCACTTGTGCCAACACACCAGCGCTGGGCCGGCCTGCGGCTGCAATTTCGGATACAGCTTGGATGAAGACCAAAAGACTTGCATTGGTGAACGGTGAACTCAACCACTTGAGGAAAAATATAGCCCATTTTAGAACAAAATTTTGAGTAGGAGAGGAACATCTGGCTTGGGTGGGGGCGGGGGTTGGACTAGATGACCTCCAAGGCTCCTTCCAACTCTCTTAATCTAATATCTGGAGGGAGCGAAACGCATCCCTTTCCCTTTTGCACAACTGTGCTGGGGTTTTTTCGCCCCACTTAGCTCCTTACACACACACACACACACACAGACGCACACACAAACCCCCAAAATCAACAGAAAAATTCAGAGGGGGGGAGGAACCCACAAACACAACATGACTTTTGTGAAGTGTATGTGTGGATGTCAGCCCACACAACTAGGAAATGTCTCTCGTTTCAGATACCAACGAATGCAACACGGGGTCTCACTGCTGCCAACAAGGGTGTTACAATTACCCTGGGGGTTACGAGTGTGTTTGTTACGCTGGCTATCAGCTCAACCCCGCAGGCTGCGGATGCGATGGTAGGCGGAGTCCATCAAAACAAGTGTGCAAATTGAAGGGTTCTCAGAGGTCATTTAGTCTGACCCCCTTTTATCTTGGGTAGGAATCTGCCCGTATCTCATCCGAAAAGACAACCTGCTTGCAAGTTTATTTGGTGGTGGTTGTTGTGTTAATATATTATTATTATTATTATTATTATTATTATTATTATTATTATTATTATTATTATTATTGTTGTTGTTGTTGTTGTTGTTATTGCTATTGTTATTGTTGTTATGTTTCTTTTATTTTATTCATCAACTGAGCATTTAAAAATATATCACAAGTATTATTATTATTATTAACTTTTATTCATTAAACATGAAACTCAGCTGAATATTTGAAAATGATTATTTTTAAAAGAATCATTTAAAATTAACTTAAAAATATTTTAACATATTAAAATAAAAATATAATATTTTAAAAGGATGATGGTGATGATTGTTTCTTTTATTCATTGAACATGAAACTCAGTCAGCTGAGCATTTGAACATGATCATTTTTAAAAGAATCGCTTCAAATTAACAAAAACATTCTAACCGATGAAAATAAAAATAAAACATTTTTTAAAAAAAGGATTATTGTTGTTGTTGTTTATTTTATTTCCCAGATCTGGACGAGTGCTCGGCGAATAACGGGGGCTGCGAACATTTTTGCCGTAACCTGGTGGGTTCGTTTGTTTGCGGATGCCGGATGGGGTTCAAATTAGACGAAGATCGCAGGAGCTGCCTTCGTAAGTCTGGCTTTTCGTGGGGCAGCACGTGTGAAGGGAAAATTTGGACACGTTCACGAGTTTGGGGGGGGGGGGGGGACACGAGGAAATTCCCTATTTGGATGGTAACCGAAGGGGGGCCGGCCGGTTCAGGCTGGGTTTTTTGTGTGTGTGTGTGTGTGTGTTTGCTCCGCTCATGTTTCTAGTCCTCTCTGTTCCCACCTTTATGGGGCAGCCGCTTGGAGGTGTTTGCTCTCTTGCCATAGACCTCGAGGAGGCCACAGAGGCCGTGGATGGACAGCGACCCGTTATCCGGCCGCTCCCCCACGTGGCTCTTTTCCATGATGGGCTCACCCCGTTTTTTGATGATGAATACGAGGATGAAGAGATGGAAGGGGCCGAAGCCAGAGGAGAATACACTGTCTCGGAGAAGTTCAGTAGGTGCAGATTCCTTCCTTCCTTCCTTCCTTCCTTCCTTCCTTCCTTCCTTCCTTCCTTCCTTCCTTCCTTCCTTCCTTCCTTCCTTCTCCTCTTTTTCCTTCCCTCCATAACTCCTTCCTTCCACCTCTCTTCTTTCCTCTCTCCCTTCTCCTCCTCTTCCTTCCTTTCCCTCCTTCCCTCTCCTCCTTTTCCTTCCCTACATACCTTCTTCCTTCCCTCTCCTTTTTT